GCAATGTGACTGGCACAGGATAGAGCAGGGTTTAGGGCTGTTGTACATAGGGTCGCTATGAGTCGCAAGTGACTCGACGGCACATAACAACAACAACAAACATAGATTCATGTACGTGTATGCATGTTGTTTCTATGTACCGCTGAATTGGAACCAACTCAAAGTTGACCTTCCTGTGTATTTTCATAGGCAGTTACTCACACGAGAGGAGACTACCCATCTTTCACTCGCGGAGGAGCTAGTGGATTCAAAACAGATGTCTATGAGTTGGCACTCCAAACCCTTACCACTAAGCCACTACAGCTCCCTGTATTTATTCATACATTCATATATAAATATATACATGTGCATATGTGCATTCATATATATGACATATCAAGTATAAAATAGGCAAATCAAATCTATGCAACTGGAAAAATAGTACATAGTATTTTGAGGTAGTCATAACTATTCATAAGTGATAAGAAAAAGAGACAAAATACCTCTGGTAGTTTTTTCATTCAGATTCACACCATATTTTGCCAAAGCTCTAATCACATCACTCTGTCCAGCCATACAAGCTGCGTACAACAAATTTCTCCCAACGACATCTTCTTCCAAGAGTAGCTGCATGGCCTGTTCATGATGAGGATTGGTAGGATCCTCAAATATCTTCTGCAGACCTTCCACATTTCCTGTGAGAGCAGGCTCCAAGAGGGGGTTCACAGTGCATGTTTCCTCTGATTCTTCAGCTTCTTCTTGCTGTGAGAAAACTACTGATTTGTTTGAACTCTCTGACTCCGGGGGTCCTTCTGCCTCCATTAACTTCAGAAGTTCCTGGGATTAAAAATAGAAATCTACTCAAACAAATCAGTATGCATGGATAGGTAAACCCCAGTACAACCCTCAATAGTAACAAACCAACCCCAAAAAGCCTATTTTATTAAAAATTCAAGTTGGAGACAATGCTTCATAATAACTAACAAATGCTACTTTATTATGTGCATCAAAATATTATGATTAACATATGTTAAAAATTTTTGGTGTATTAGGAAATATTTCTTTCATTCTTTTGATGCATACTTACCACCCATTGCTATTGAGTCAGAACCAACTCATAGCTAATCCTCTACCGGGTTTTCTGTGGTAAAAAAAAATCACACAGGAGTAGGTTGCCCATCTTTCTCGTGATGAGCTGCCTGTGGAATTGAACCACAAGAGAGGAATAGCTTTTGGATTAGCTGTACAACTCCCTACAGACTATGCTACCAAAGCTCCATCACTGAGAAGTGAGAAATAAAGAAGAACTGGCTCATACTGTTTCCAAAGCTGTCAATCTTTATGAAAGGAGACTAACTCATATTTCCTCCTATGGAGTGGCTGGTGGGTTTGAACCACCAACCTACTAGTTAACAATCAAATACCTTGACCACAGTGTCACCAGAGCTCCTTCCCGATTATAAAGACCTTAAAAATATACATCAAAGACATTTAGACAAAACTATGAAATTGATAATTATTCCAGTTCAGTAGTAATGATTCAGCAGCATGATCTTCTCTTATGCACCAGAGTATCTGTACCATCACAAGAGCAAAAACCCTGGGGGAAAACCCGTGTCTATGAATAGGAGCACAAATGGTGGTACACTCACTCAAAATAGTATAAATAGTGATACATTTACTCAAAATAGTATAGTAAATAACATAAGAGGAGACTACTCATCTTTCTCTCATCAAGCACCTGATGGATTCAACTGCATACTTTTGTGTTGACAGTACAATTCCTTACTACTAAGCCACCAGAGCTCACTAAATAGCATATTGTTGTTTGGTGCTGTCAAGCCAGAACCAACTCATAGCAGACCCTCCATCAGGTTTTCAGTGGCAGGAAATCACAGTGGCAGGATGGGAGGAGAGTGCCCGTCCTTCTCCCATGAAGTAGCTGCAATCTCTAAATCCTATGGATTTAAACCACATGCCTTAGAGATTTCAGTGTAGCATCTTACCACTAGGCCACCAGAGATTCCTAAATAGCATAAAGCAGTTAAGTAGTATATAGTTTAAACCACCAACCCACTGGTTAACAAATATCTTAATTATAGTGGCACCAGAGCTCCATCCAGATTTTAAAGACCTTAAAATATTAAAATATGTTAAAAGGGACCAGACAAGGATGTCCACTGTCACCATTTCTATCTAATATTGTACCAGAAGGGCTTGTGAGGGCAATACAACAAAAGAAGGAAATAAAAGGCATCAAGACTGGCAAAGACATGGTTAAACTATCACTATATGAAGGTGATATAATGTGTACACGGAAAACCTCAAGGACTCAACAAAGAAATTGTTAGAGCTAGTAGACCATTTTAGTAGAATGGCAGAATGTAAGATCAATACCCAAAAATCAGTGGGATTCCTCTAAAGTAATATAGAAAACTCAGAGGAGGAAATCAAGAAAGTACTATCATTTACAATAACCAACCACAAATTGAGATACTTTGGGGTGAACCAAACTAGAGATACAAAAGACCTATACAAATAAAACTACAGAACATTTCTACAAGACACAGTAAAAGACATAAAGACATCGAAAAATGTGTCCTGTTCATGAACAGAAAGATTCAATATTGTGAAAATGACAATCCTACCAAAAGCAGTCTATATGTTCAATGCAATCCCAATACAGATAACAAATTAATTTTTCTAGGAGATTGAAAGATAAATTGGCAAGTTTATTTGGAGAAGCAAGAGACCCTAAATTAGCAAAACATTCCTGAAACACAAAAGTTAAATGGGAGGCATAGCACTCATGACCTCAAAACCTACTACACAGCAGTAGTAACCAAAATAGCCTGGTACTGGTACAATGACAGGTATATTGACCAATGGAACAGAATTGAGAACTCAAAAGTAGACCCAGTTATCTATGATCAACTGATATTAAATAAGGAAATAAAACCTATCAGACAGGGAAATAACAACCTCTTCAACAACTGGTTCTAGCAAAACTGTTATCTGCAGAAAGTTGAAACAGGATCCACATCTGACACCACACACAGAAATCAACTCAAGGTGGATCAGAGACCTGGAAGTAAAGACCAAAACCATAAAGTTCATCAGAGACAAACTGGGATCAAGATTAGATGATCTAATATAGCCAGAAATGCACAATCTGGAGAAGATAAATGGGACCTTCTAAATATTAAATCCTTGTGCGCATCAAAAACATTTTCCAACAGAGTGAAAAGAAAACCTACTGACTGGGAAACACATTTGTCAATATCATTTCAGACAAGGGTCTCATATCAAAAGCTTACAGAATCCTATAGGGCCTTCACAAGAAAAAGACAGATCACACAATTACAAAATGGGCAAAAGACATGGACAAAATTTTCACAGAGATAGATATTCAGATGGCCAACAGACACATGAAGAAATGCTTAAAATCACTGGCAATAAGAGAGAAGCAAATCAAAACCACAATGAGATACCATCTCACTCCAGTACTGTAGCAAAGTTTAACAGGACAGGAAGTAATAAACGTTGGAGAGGATACAGTGAGATAGGAGCTCTTATACATTGTTGGTGGTATTGTAAAATGAAAAAACCACTCTGGAAGGCAGTTTGGCGTTTCCTCAAAAAGCTGGCCAGATTTGCCTACTGCTCCCTGCCTCAGTACTGTCGTCTTCGGGCACTGGCATTGACTTGCCTGAAGTGCAGCCACAGACCACTGACAGGTGTGATGAGGACTGGATGAAATGTTTATTGTTATTTTGATCCTCTTTATAAAAAGATTAAAGCCACTATTTTTTTTTATTTTTAGAAAAAAGAAAACAAAAGCTCGCCAGAGAAAAATCCATATGATCCAGCTATTCTACTGCTAGGAATATACTCCGAGAGAATGAAAACTGATGCACAAATGGAGACCTGTACACCACTGTTCTTAACAGCATTATTCACCAACACAAGAACATGGAAACAGCCCAAATGTCCAACCACAATCGAATGGATTGAGAAATTACCATTATAATACCATAATAATTTCTCAATTATGGTACACTCACATGATGGACTACTATGCAGCAAACAGGAGTAATGATTTTGTAAATTATTAGCTAACTTGGGAGGGACTGAAGAGCATTATTCTGAGTGAACTAACTCAGTCCCATAAGGACAAATACTGTAGAAGACTATTATTGTAGAATGTGTATGAGGATCCAAGGTGAGGGGAGGGTGGGAGCAGAGGGCTGAGGATAGGGGGGAGCCTTAATCATAGGGTCGCACAATTTGATAGGTTGGGGTGAGGAGTGAAGTAAATCGGAAAGATCCAGTGTGAAAAACAATGTATATGAACTTTGTAAGAAAACAAGTATAAAATAAAATTTTAAAAAGACAAGACCAAAAGAAATGAAATAAATATGTCAAAGACATTTAAACAAGAATGCTATTAAATTGATAGTTTTAACTGCTAAATAGCAAATGTGCTTGTTTACCATCGAGTTGGAACCAACCCACAGCTGATCTTCCAGCGGGTTTTCAGAGGTAATTAATCTCATAAAAAGAGACTGTCCATCTTTCTCCTGCTGAACAGCTGGTGGACTCGAACCGCATGCTTTCAGGATTACAGTGCATCTTCTTGCCACTAGGCCACCAGAGCTCCCTAAACCATATATAGCAGTTAAAATTAGTAAATTGGTGATACGGAACGTGTAGGCAGTTTCTGACATGGCTCTAGATGGGATATGTCTCCTGACTTCACACTCTTGAATAGTCTTCCTCCATCCTGGAGTATATGCTGAATATAATAACCTACATCTAACAAAGAGGGTAATGGTGATGGGTATCATTTCCATCAGTCTGTTACAATAGATTGAGACTTCATCTCATTAGTGTTCTTTCCTGGTTTCTCTTGTGTGCTTTTGCCCACCTATCAAGGATGAGGGCACCTTATGGCTAACAACAACCAAAGATACAAAGATTGAACAAAGAATTCACTCTAAGGGCTTGCAAAGAAGTTAATTCTAACAACAACACTGAGTGAGCCCAGAAATGGATCTTCCCACTTAAGCCAAGAGATGACTGTGGTCCCAGGCAGTATCTTGGGGTATAGCCTCATAAGAGATCATAATGTAGTTGAAATTCTAACCCACTGAAACTATGAAATACTAAATGTGTATTGTTTTAAGCTTATAAACTTTAGTATAATTTGCTACATGGCAACAGGTAACTAAGCCATCACACAACAATTCAGATGAAATTAATTTTAGCAATATGGTATTAAGCAGGTGGGGAGTACAAAAATTATAAATCAAGACATACATTTTTTAAAATTCAAAGGAAACTAAAACAGCTTTTAAAGAATACATGTACATATAGTAACACTATTTTTAAAAAGAAAAAATCAAAACTGAACTAAATTCTGGATAATGCTCACAAGCAGGAGAACAGGAGAGATAGTAAACGAGATATAGAAAAGAGTGTATGTTTAATAAAGAGTGGAGCACATTTAAGCTGGATAAAGAATGAGCAAGACTTGGTCTTTTCAGATGTCAGAAGGGAATTCTAGATGGACTAGCATAAGTGTGATGGTTAGTTTTATAAATCAACTTGGAGAGGCCAGTTGAGAATTAACTTCTGACTCAACATAAATTACAATGAAGTTATTCTATAGATGTGGTTAACACCTACAAAAATTTGACTTGAATTCAGGGTTCAGATCTTTTAGTCACAGGGTTGCTATGAATCGTGCTCAACTCAACAGCACCTAAAAACCACAACAACCCTCCACTAACACTATTAAAGGAGATTGCCCACTATCACCTTGT